AAGGCAGGAGGAGGTGACAGTTCCGCTTTGAGGGTCAGAGGACCGGGTTAAAGGAAGGAATGCGTTGGGGGTTTAGGGAAAATGGAGTTGCTTGGAAGTCTACTGGGGAAAAGGGGGGCAGGAGGGAGGGAAAGTGTGCACGTTCTGAGGGTCAGAGGGGTGCGGGAGTGTGGGGTGAGGGGTGGCTGATGTGAGGACCGGGTCAGGGGTGTCCTTGTGCGGGGGAGGGCTTGGCAGCATAACCCTTCCTGCCCCGAGGAACTCGGCTCCTGGCTGGCAGGAGGGAGGATCTGGAACCTTCAGGAAAGGGGTGAATCAGCCGGTGCCGCCCGGATGCACCCCTGCCCGCCGCGTCCCCGGGGAGGCACTCTCCCCTCTCAGTGCAGGCCCCTGGGAGGGAAGAGTGCCCGCCCTTATCCAGGGCCAGGCGTCTTAAAAGCCTCGCCTGGCGGCGCGGGCGGGCTCTTTGCCAGGCCTGCCAGCCTGCCGCCTTTCCTCCTGCTCCCTCACCCCGGGAGCAGCGGCCGGCGCTCCCGGTGGCTGTGCTGAAGCCGCTCTATACATGTACACGCCTGTTCTCAGCGTCACTATTATTGCTGCTCCATTTAAGGGCACGTTGCAGACGCCATGGCTCTTTACCTCTAAATATTTCAGGGGAAACATCTAAGACCAAGGACATTCTGACAACCAGAAAACAGTTTCCAGCTTCAGAAACGTGACTGTCGGGGTGCCGGAAGGTACCCGGACTGGGCGACACGTAAACAGCAGAGGCCTGTTTCCTCACAGGCCTGGAGCCTGGACGCCCAAGGTCAGGGGTTGAGAGATGTGGTTCCTGCTGAGGCCTCTCTCCCTGGCTTGTAGTTGGCCACCTTCTTGCCGTGTCCTCACGGGGCCCCTCCTCCGTGTGCGTCCTTGGTGCCTCCGCGTGTGTCTGGATTTCCTCCTCTTAAGTCAGACTGGATTCAGGCCCCCTCTAACGACCTCATTTGAACTTAATTACCTCTTTAAAGACTCTGTCTCCAAACAAGCTTACATTCTGAGGTTACTGGGGGTGAGGGCTTCAACATATAAATTTGGGGGCACAATTCAGCCCACAGCAAACATTATTACCTAATACGTAGTCCGTGTCCCACTAATACCCTTCATCCCATTAACCCAGGATCCAATTTTGTCATGTCTCTTTATTTGTTAATTTTATTTCAAAAAATATGTTTTTATTGATTTCGGAGAGAGGAAGGGAGAGGAAGAGAGAGAGAGAGAAACATCGATGATGAGAGAGAGTCATTGATCGGCCGCCTCCTGCACGCCCCCCACTGGGGATCGAGCCCGAAACCCAGGCATGTGCCCTGACCGGGAATGGAACCGTGACCTCCTGGTTCATAGGCTGACACTCAGCCGCTGGGCCACGCCGGCCGGGCTGCCATGTCTCTATAGTGCCTTTCATCTGGATCAGTTTCTCAGCCTGTGCTGAGAAAGGGAACTGAGCTGCCGGAAGCAGCCCTGCTGGCTGCCTGGGGACAGGAAGGCTGTTGAAGGATTTTCCCATTCCCTGGGGTCCCGTTTCCTGGCTTTACTTTGATGTCAAAAGCACCAGGAGGTGAGCTTGGGCCTTAGAAAGCAGCGTGGAGACTCGGAGCCAGCGCCTCAGTCACCTGCCGGTGTCGCGTCCGGTCCTCACCGTGCATTTCCTGGCCGGGCTGGCAGGCCGTGGGACTTGCATGGCCATGGATCTATAAAACACGGCCAATAACACAAACTACGGTGCTAAATATTTTTCGAGCATTCTTGCTGTGAAGGTAAATGCAAACTCCGAGCCGCCCTGAAAGTCCACGTGACCAGGAGCCACTGTGGTGAACCCCTCCCGTCTCACTGTCCTCTCACAGCCCTGCTTGCGGAGGGTCCAGTGATTTATCCAAAGACACGCGGCTCGCAGGTGGCAAGAGCGAGGCGCCGAGCGCAGGGCTGGCTGTGTCCCGCCGTGGCCCTCAGCTCCGGGGTGAACGCGGTGGGGGAATCAAAGGCGGGACCGTTAGCATTACAAGGTCCCTAGTGGCTGCAGCGGGTTCCTGGCGTGGAAAGAGCATCTCAGCCCCGGGAGGGCGGGCCCAGGCCTGGCTGGTTCCCACCCTGAGGAGGTGCCGCTCAGGGTTATCTTGGGCCCCAAGATAAAGCCCGAGAACCGCTTGGGCGGCTGAGCCAGCGAGGTGCGGGCCTGCCGACGCCTGCGCTTCCCGAGTTGCAGGGCCTGCGTGCGGGATGTTAAGCGCCCACAGTTTGGGGACCACCACTCAGCTTTTTCCCATCACGTAAGTGGATTTTAGCCATTGATTTTTTTTTAAAAAAGTTAATAAGCCTTAAACTTCCTGTGCAGGGCAGGCTCGCACACCATCGGCAGGCAGGTGAGTTTGTTACTCTTTCTGGAGCGACGTTTGTCAATATTCACCCGGGGCGTTCTAACATCCATGTCCACCCGGCAATTTCCCCTTCGGTCGAAGACGTACCCAAACGCCAGGACGCCTTGTTTGCCGTGGCAGGACCACCCTGTGGGCGTGAGGTGCTGCAACTTGTTTCTGTTCCTCAACGTTTTCTGAGATCTGTCCGCGTTGGTTGGTATAGGTCTCAGCCAT